TTCATACCTTCAAATTCACTTTGTTGTGTTTGTTTAAATCCTAAGGAGTGACAAGAAAGGTGCTATAATGCTTTCTTTCTTATCTTCTTTAACATTGAATGCACTAGGCTGCATATTTAGAAAGAAAAGGAGGTGTTCCACAGCATTTCATTTTACATTTGTTGCCGGGAGGGTCTATTCCTTTTTTTTTTAAATTGCACTTCCAACCCTGTTAGTGAGGTTTTGTTCTCACTGGATAGTCTACATTTATGCAACCCCTGAAACAACTACAATGCATGGGGCTAAGTGTTATAGAATTAAAGATTTGTTTTTAATAGTCCATGATTGGAATATTTTACTTTCATGAGGGCAGAACATCTGCTGCTGCACAAGAGCCCAGAGGTTATCATTGCTGCCCGGTTCTAAAATCTTTTATCCTGTGGTTCCACAGACTGAAGAGGCAGAAGAGGAAGGAAATAGTTCAAGAAAGAGTAAGAAAAGGTGTGCTCATGTGTGCCTGGGCCAACCTGATAATATAACATTACAACAGAGAAAATAATTAAAACTCACAACAGTAAACGTTGACTTACAAAACATCTCAGCAGAAAAAGGTATGAACTGTCTAACAATATAATATATATTAATATTATATTAAAATAACTGCCATATTTTGTGACACAGTTTTCACTTTGTGTCTGAAATAAAGTGGTGTTTTAAGGGCAAGACTGTGTTCTGCCACCTCACTGAATCCACGCAGAGATCATCTTCCCCATTTTTTCGAGTACCCAGATTGACCAATAGGGGGAGCAATAACACTTGTTTACTTACAAGCTACTTTAGAACTCATATATTTTATTCAATAATGATTTTGTGGTGCTTGGGGCCCCACAGTGGTGTGTTTGTTACCTGAGTCTCCAGATTTTTTGAGCAAACAAACACCAAATTGCCCCAATACTAAACTTATAAACATTCAAAACAGGCCAGTGGATGCAAAAATAGGACTCTGACTCGACTCTATCAGGAGGTGAGAAGAGTTTATTGCAGTTTTGCAGTTCAATGCTAATTAAGCTGATGTTGACCGGAGATTGTGGCTGGCAGTGGCAGGCAGGCTGAAGTTGGCTGAGAGTGGGGCTGATTGAGTGGTGCAGAGTTGGACGGGAGAGAATAGAAACACGGTCCAGGAACACAACACAAAGGAGAAGCAGATAACAACACAGGTCTACAAAACTCATCAAAGACGAGAGAAGAGTTGGCCATGACACAACAGAGTGATGAGGAGCAGATGAGAAGGCAGGGTGCCTCAGAGCTTGATTGGTGGATGGGCATCAGGTGTGCAGGTTGATTGCACATCAGTAGATGATTAGAGCGCCAATGCCATACACACAAAAACAACAGAGAAAACAAGGACCAGAAAAATACACAGGAAGGGGAAAGACATACCAGAAATAGAGGGAATAATGGAGAGATAAAGCAGTAACCGTGACATTCTGAGAAGTACAGTTACACTATTTTGCATATTTTATGTTACTTTGGTTCAGGTTCTTTTACAAGGAAAGAGGTTTCAGGCCGTAAAGACACTTTGTACTTTGCAGTCTGCACTCCTGCAAACCCCTGGGAAACGGGACAGGAGGACACAGAGGAAATTTATAGCCAGCACTCAAAGGGTGGAGGTTTCATTGCAATATCACTGATGAAAGGTTTGATGATCCTCTTTGGGAGGTTTTGCTTTTACTGGGGGAGTTCATCATGCCGGAGTGGTACCTTTATTTCCCTTTGGAGTGCCACTTGTGGATTTCTAGAGTTCATCAAAAGGGAGGAGATAATTTACAGGTGTCATTAGTCCGGCTGGGCAGAAGAAAAGTGCATCAAACAGTAAATGAATAGTTTTAAATCTGAAAGGATGAAGAGTAATG